CTCTTCCTTGGCTCTGGTTGTTGGTGCATATATTTGAATGATAGTGGTATTCACTGGACTTCCTTGTATGCGTATAGATATTATCCTGTGAATGACAATATTATACTTCAAGATGGATCTAGCAGTGACTTTTTTAACTATGAAAGCAACTCCATTTTTCCTCACCTTTTCATCTCCAGAGTATCATATGGTGATTTGTTGTATCTAGTACTATTTTCTTTTTCCAGTTTCTATTGATTCTGACTCCTGGCAACTAAATGTGTATCAAAGTAGAATTGTGTTCCGAAGAGTTTCAGTGTCTGTTCTGTTCTGGAAGTTGGTCACCAGACCTTTCCTTTAAAGTGTCTCTGTGTGGACTTGAACCTTTGGTTATTAACCACTTGTCCCACCCCAGGTCTCAGCAGTATTTGGAATCTGGGATCTCTGTCATCATGTTTCACTTCGTGCAGGTGTTGGCAAAACTACAACTTGCAGTCCAGACCCTGGGCTTATGGATAGTGTTTGTAGATGTAGCTGGAATCCGCTAATTGATGTTGCTGATTTTGCTTTGCACCAGGTGACCTGAGTTCACTGGGAGCCCTCCAGGTCCCTGACTTGCCTGTGTGTCCCTCATTGGGCAGGAAGGGTACCTGTGCCCCCTAGTCACTGACCTGCCTTTGTGCCCCTCATTGAGCAGGAGGGGTCACCAGGAACCTCCACAGGTCCCTGACCTGCCTGTATGTCCCTTTTTGGGCAGGAGGGGATGTCAGGCCCCACAGGTCCTGACATGTCCGTATGTCCTTCATTGGATAGGGTCATGAAGAGAGTGTACTCAGTGGTCAGGGAGGACATTGCTCAGAGATGATGAAGCAGGATATTGTCTTGATTATAGTCTCTTTTCACTTTCTTTCAGCACTTTATCCAGAGACCGTGCTAGACGTACCACTCATGGCTCACATGGCCATCAGGAACTCTTCTGGAGAAGATGGCACCCTCTAGCCTGGCATGCTGGGAAATGAGGATCCACAGGCATCCTGCTGTGTGCCATGCTGAGCTCCTGGTCATGGCCCCAGAGTACTGAACAGTCCCTGGCCCTGCCTGTAAAAATGTACCTCCCCATCAGTGGGCTGCTTGTGACCCTAGTGGTGCTGAGGACAACGGTGGCATTCGCACCAGTCCCTCGGATCACCTGGGAGCAGAGAGGTAAGAGAAAGCCTGTGGGTGTACCATGGCTGCTGCAGCATGTAGTGGATATGGAACACTCATCCCAGCACCCACCATGCTACATGAGTGGTGTCACTGTGTGCTGCTGCCAGTGACCTGCTTTGAGCCTCATCTCCTAAAGGAGTTCCTGGGTGATACAGATGGCTAGGTGAGGTGCTGCTGAGTGAAAAGGTGCCTCAGGAGAAAGACCTGGCAATCTTTTTCCAGAAGTCCATAGCCCTGAAAACCTGAATTGATCAAAGTTGAAATTAACGCAGTGGCACCTTTTTCCTCATACTTTTGAGTTTTGTGAAATGTATATAACTAATGTGAAACCTATATTTGGACCAAGAGGCAGTAGTCAGAACAGAGCAGGGTAACACTGCATGGTTCAAAGTTGGGAAGGGTGTAAGCCAGGGATGTGTCCTGTCTCCATACCTTTTCAGCCTGTATGCAGAGCAGATTATCCAGGAGGCTGGTCTCTATGAAGAGAATTGTGGCATCAGGATTGGTGGAAGATCGATTAACAGTCTGCGTTATGCAGATGACACAACCCTTCTTGCTGAAACTCAGGAGGACCTCATGCACTTGCTGTGGAGGGTCAAGGACTGCAGCCTTCAGTATGGACTGAGGCTCAATGTCAAGAAGACAAAGATCCTCACCACTGGACCAATCGGTAGCATCGGGATGGATGGCGAAGAGATTGAGATTGTTCACAGCTTCAGTTTGCTCAGCTCCACAGTCAACACTCTTGGCACCAGCAGTCAGGACATCAAAAAGCGTATTGCGATGGGAAAGTCTGCTGTTTGGGACCTCTCTAAAGTACTCAAGAGCAACGGTGTCTCTCTGGAGACTAAAGTGTGCCTGATACAGGCCATGGTCTTTGCAATCACTTGTTATGCATCAGAGAGTTGGACAATGACTAGGGAGGACAGAAGGAGAATTGATGCCTTTGAGCTGTGGTGCTGGAGAAGAGTATTGAATGTACCATGGACTGCCAAGAAAACAAACAGATTCATCCTGGAGAGGATTAAACCAAGCAACTCCTTGGAGGCAAGGATTCTGGGGCTTCGTCTGACATACTTTGGGCATGTTGCCAGGAGGGACGGGTCCTTGGAGAGGGACATCATGCTTGGGAGGGTGGAGGGACGGCGCAGGAGGGGAAGACCCTCTATGAGATGGATTGATTTGGTGACTGGGGTAATCGGGATGGGTGTGTCGGAGGCAGTGCGATTGGCGCACGATAGAGCAGGGTTTAGGGCTGTAGTGCGTAGGGTCACTGTAAGTCGCAAACGACTCGACAGCACATAACAACAACAACAACAATATATCTAAGAGATGTCTTTGGTAGTAGAAACCTTTTCAAAGACATACTCAAACTCCCATACACATAAAATTAGAGAAAATGTCTGAAAAGAAAAATCCGAGGGTGATGTTAGGAGCTTTGACTGCTCACTGGTTGGAGGAGTCCCTCAGAATTGCCTCAGAAGGAAAGCTGCCTGTTTTGAAAAATTGAGGTGTTGAAAACTAGACCACAGTTCTGCTCTGACACACATGGACCCAATAGGAGCTTGACAGCCACCAGAAACCACCTTCTCCTGGAAGCCTCTCTGATGAGTGCCAATGCTGAGGGTAAGTTACTGCTGAGCATTTGTCACCATGCACATGAGCACACTAGCAGCGTGTCTTGGAGACAGGTACATTGTGTACAGAGCTGAATGTGATGCCATTTATTATTGTTTGCTATTTATTAGTTTCTCTTCTATTTTCTTTCTTGAGAGATGAGTCTTAGAAGTGCCTATCTTCCTTGTTTGATAGTCTGAGAACTTAAAGTACCTCTCCTTAAGCACTTAGTATTGAATATAGATCAGAGAGAGGTCTCCTGTGTGTAATTAAAAGACAGTAGATCCACTAAGAGAGGATTTTCATCCAGTGTGTGTCTCTCTCTTAAAAGAACAGGAAACATTAGCACCGACCCATAAGTAAATTGAATGTTTGGTTATCTATGGAAAACTTATTAAAATTCACTCAAATTGGTGCCAGAAGGGTTAAAAGGAAACAGTTACTTAAACAATAGTACTGACAATTTTATGTTGCTGCTAAACAGCTAATAATTAAATTCTAGCATTCCTAAATATCATTGTGCAATTTTACCTAGTGAACTAGAAAATTGCTTTTGCTTCCCTAGTTTTTCAGTTTATTGCAATCAACAAAGTGTGAAAAGAGCAAGGGACATGTGGGGATGACCATTTCTGACCTTTACCAACTTCAGAAAGGGGAACTGTCCTATCAACAGCATCAGTAACACAAAACCATGAGGTCAGACATGTCCCTATGTTCCCATACCTCTTTCTACTCCACTCAATACCAATCTCACTGCTTTACTTGGTCCAAAATCTGATGCAGTAACTCACAGACCTGTTAGGGAAATCAAATGAGTATAATCAAAATTAGTAACAAGAATGTAGTCGAAACAGCTTCTGAAATGTGCACACAGGAACCTCAACCTTGAGTCCCATGGCTTTCGGCCAATGTTTCCAAGTTCTCAGTCCTTCCAATATTGATTTCCCACCCCCACTTGTCCAACAAAGTTCTCAGTCCTTCCAGTATTGACTCTTCCCCCAAGGTCCCATATATGTAGATGTAGCTGGAGCAAGAAGGGTGTACTACATTCTTTTGCCGCTTCTTCAATGACACCAGATCTAATTCTGGGACTAGAGCTATTAAGTTCATTGGCGAGATTAGCCAGTCCCCTTGTGGATTGTTGAGGCTGGCCTTTGTGAAGTGGTAAGACAACCAAACACCTTTTGTATAGGCCAACATGCCCCTTTCACATAATCCTGCCCATCTACATGGTCAGGTCAGATTCAGAAGACTAGGAAAAATCTTACTGAGTGATAACCTCCACACAGACGAAAAAAAAAATGCTTAATGGAATGAATAGTTTCTAGAACTGATATTTTAAAGAATTTGGGATCAACCCTTTTTTTTCCTGAACAAGAAAATTCTAAATCGTTCTAGTCTATTGTTGCTATGTGCTGTCAAGTTGTTTGTAGCTCATAGCAACTCTGTGCACAATAGCTCTGAACTGTGTTCTATCCTGAGTCAATCTCACTGTCTCTGACACACCTACCCTCATTACCCCAATTATTGTGTCAGTCTGTCTCAGCTGGTGTCTTCCTCTCCTTTGCTGTCCTTTGACCCTTCTAAGCATATTCTTCTCCAGAGGTTGGCCCCTCCTGGCTTTATAACCAAAGTATGTGAGATGGGGTCTCAAAATCTTTACCTCCAAGGAGAAATATGGTTTCATCCTCTCTAGGAAGACCTGTTAGTTTTCTTGGCAGTCCACGATTCTCCAGCAGCACAACTCAAGGGCATTGATTCTTCTTCTGTCATTCTTAAGTCATTGTCCAGCTCTCTGATTCATAGCAAGTAATTGTGAAGACGGTGGCGTGGATCAGGCACACCTTAATCTCTAAACTGACATGCTTGCTCTTCAGTACTCTGGAGAGGTTCCTGACAGCAGATTTCCCTAATGGAATTAGTGTCTTGATTTCCTCACTGTTAGTGCCAAGAGTGTTGATTGTGGAACCAAGCAAGCTGAAGTTGCTAAAGTGCCAAGAGTGTTGATTGTGGAACCGAGCAAGCTGAAGTTGCTAACTATTTCAATCTCTTTCTTTCATGGTGCTGCCAGTTGGCCCACTGGTGAGAATCTTTGTCTTCTTGATGTTGTGTTGAGTTTCAACCCATATTGCAAATTATAGTCCCTACCCTCTTTAGCAGATGCTTCAGGCTTTCCTCATTTTCAGAAGTAGGGTTGTGCCATTTGTGTAATTCAGGTTGATGATGAGTCTTCCTCCAATCCTGATGCCACAATCTTCCTCATAAAGTTCAGCCTCTTTTTTTTTTTATGGAATGCTTCACGAATTTGCGTGTCATCCTTGTGCAGGGGCCATGCTAATCTTCTCTGTATCGTTCCAATTTTAGTATATGTGCTGCCGAAGCGAGCACATAAAGTTCAGCCTCTTGAATGATCTGTTACACATATGGATTGAAAAGATATGGAGACAGGACAGATCACTGACTCCTTTTCTGATTTTGAACTATGCAGTGTTTCCTTGCTCTGTTCTGACAACTGCCTCCTAGTCCAAGTGTAGGTTTTGCATGAACACGATTAAGTAATCTGGGATTTCCATTTTCTTCAAGGTTAGCCACAATTTTATTTTATTAATTTTAATGAACATTTACGGAGATTTTTAGATTTCCATTCATTCTTCCCCCTCCAGGACACTCTTCTTTTTGAAAAGTAAAAGAAAAAATTCCTTCATTGGTATACAATTCTCCCCACCTTCTGAGTATACTCCACTATGCAAGCTTCATTCTGGATTCTTGTCATAACCATAATACCCAATCATATATCGCATTTAAACTGTTCTCTTCCTCATCTGTTTCAGTTCAGTATACATAATTTATCCAATTTATTCTATCTCACCCCAACCCTGATGTCAGTCCCATTCTACAACAGTGGCACTACGCAGTATTTGTCCTTTTGTGACTGAGATATTTCACTCAGCATAATGTCCTCTAGAGTCACCCATTGTGAATAATATTGTATGAGTTCCTTGTTTTTCAGTGAGCATAGTATTCCATTGCATTAGCCACAATTTGTTGTGATCCACACAGTCAAATGCCTTTGTATAGTCAATGAAATGAGACATTCCTCTTGTATTCTGTGCTTTCAGTCAAGATCCATCTGACCTCATTGGCAATAATGTCCCTAGTGCCATCACCTCTTCTTAACCCAATTTGTGTTTCTGATAGTTCTCTGACAATGTACTGTTCCAGTTGCTTTTGGATAATCTTCAGCGGGATTGTGCTTGTGTATGATATTATTTGACAATTTTCATACTCTTTTATCACCTTTTTTTGGAATGGGAATAAATATGGATCTCTTCTGTCAACTGGCTAGGTAGTTGTCCTCCACATTTCTTGGCACTGTCTGGTAAGCCCTTCCAGGGCTGCCATCTGTTTGTTGAAATTTGGTATTCCATCAATTTCTTGAGGCTTTCCCCCCGCCCCAGTTCCTTCAGAATAGCTTGAACTACCTTCTTCATCAACATTGCATCTTGAACATGAGTTGTTTTATAAAATACTTCTGTGTCAGCTAGTACAGTGGCTGGTACAATGACTCTTTACTCCTTCCATCTTCTTTGGATGCTTCTTGGATTATTCATTGTTCTACAGATAATATTGGAACTCAATGCTTGAATCTGTTCTTTAGTTCCTTCAGTGTGAGAAATGCTGAGCGAATATGACCCTTTTGATTTTCTGACTCTAGCTCTTTCCACATTTCATTATAATACTTTGGTTTGGTTTGGTTGGTTTGTTGGTTGTTTTTTTCCCCCCTTTTTTTAATTCGGAGTCTCTTCCAACATCCATTTTGTTCTTTTGCTTTTTGGATAATAATTTTTATATCCTCCCACAGCTCATCTGGCCTTTGCTTATTTGTATTCAAGACCTTGAATCTGTTCCTGAGATGGTTTTTAAATTCAGATAGGATAGACTGAAGGCCAAATTTTTGCTCTTGTGGATTTAATTTCATTTTCTTTAGCTTCAGTTTGAACTAGTATATGAGTAATTTATGGTCTGTTCCACAGTCAGCATGTGACCTAGTTTTCAAGCTGGTATTGCGTTTCTCCAGTGATTCTTTCCACAGATGTAATCATTCTGACTCCTATGTAAACCATTAGGTGAGATCCATGTATACAGTCTGAGTTGGTTGTGTGGGTTTTTAAAAAATTTTATTTTATTAATTGTAATGAACATTTACAGAGATTTTGGATTTCCATTCATTCATTATTGCATTTTTCTCCCTGCCCACTCCTCCCCCTCCAGTACACTCTTCTTTTTGAAAAGTAAAAGAAAAATTTCTTCATTGGTATACAATCCTCCCCACCACCTGAGTATACTCCACTATGCAAGCTTCATTCTGGATTCTTGTCATAACCATAATACCCAATCATATATCGCATTTAAACTGTTCTCTTCCTCATCTGTTTCAGTGCAGTATATATAATTTATCCAATTTATTCTATCTCACCCCAACCCTGATGTCAGTCCCATTCTCCAACAGTGGCACTACGCAGTATTTGTCTTTTTGTGACTCAGATATTTCACTCAGCATAATGTCCTCCAGGGTCACTCATTTTGAATAATATTGCATGAGTTCTTTGTTTTTCAGTGCACCATAGCATTCCATTGTGTGAATATACCAGAGCTTTTCTATCCATTCGTTTGTTGATGGGCACTTAGGTTGTTTCCAACTCTTTGCTATTGTGAACAAAGCCGCAGTAAACATGGGTGTTTTCCAACTTCTGATCCTCCTTCTCCATTCCCAACTTTTGCATTCCAGTCTCCAATTATTATTTGTGCATCCTGGTTAAGTGTTTGATTTCTGACTGCAAAGGTTGGTAGAAATCATCTATTTCTCTCTTGGCTCTGGTTGTTGCTGAACATATTTGAATGATGGTAGTATTGACAGGACTTTCTTATGTACATATGAATATTATCCTATCACTCACAACATTATATTTCAAGATGGATCTGGAAAGACCTTTTTTTTCCCTCACCTGGAAAGACCCCATTTTTCCTCACCTTTTCGTCTCCAGCATGAATTATTGTCTGATTCAGAATGTCCCATGCTGATCCATCTCATTTTGCCAGTGCCTGGTATGCCAATGTTTATGCTTCCATTTATTTTTCTTTTTTTCCGTTTATCTTTTAACATTATCCAACTTATCTACATTCATGCTTCTCACATTCCACTTTCTAGTAATTAGTGCTTGCAACTGTCACTCCTCCCTTGTTTTTGCCAGCCAAAGATCTCATCATAAGGTGCCATATCTGCTGTTCTAATTTAAGTGTGCCCTATTGTGCATAGGGTTTTAGAAGGCCTGTTGTTTTATATGTGAATGGCCAATTCTTCTCCCTAGCCTGCCTTAATTTATACGTTCAACTTAGAACAATATCTGGCAGACAAGCATTTTACCCAGAACTGTTGGTTTTCCACCTCTCCACCCCCACTTTGGCACTTTGGTGATTTAGTTCTGCCCCTACCCTGCTCTGCTAGCATCCACTTCCTTCAGCATCCACTTCAGCCCCTGCTGCTGCCCTTCCCTCCCTCTTTGACTCTCTTCCTGCATCTACTCAATTGTTGTTGTTATGTGCCATCGAGTTGCCTGCGACTCATAGCGACCCTGTATACAGTAGCCCTAAACCCTGCTCTGTCATGTGCCAGCCTAATGGGAAGGTAGCGAAAAGCTGTGGATTTCAGCAGATGGAGACTTCTTACCTGTGTTCCTTGTTGGTACATCTGTGGATGCAGGATGTGAAGTGTGGCAGAGTTAGGGAGTAGGAGAAGACACCACATGCTTGTGCCTAGAGGCACAGAGCCAGCCCTCAGGCTGTATAGCCACGTGTGCAAGGTCTGCTGTCTTCATTGCCATCACATTGAGCAAAAAGTAGTAAACTTCTGGCATTGCTGCTTCTGCTATGAATATATCATAGAGTCCTAGCCTACCTAACTGGGCCCTAGCAACAAGGTACTGTCAAGATGACTCCTTTTCTGGCGTTCATAGGGTTTCAGTGGCTCCTTTTGGAGGTATATCACCAGTCCTTTCTTCCAAGTCACCTCTGGGCACCTGCAAACTGTTACCCTTTTGGTTACACAAGTTTGTTAAGTGTTTGTACCACCCTAGGACTCTGGAAGGACACTGGGGTGTGCATAACTGAGACCAGTCTTTCAAAATGTCTGTGTCACTTTCTCCTGCAGAGGTAGGTCTGGTACATTTCCACGAACCAGGTGTCTCCAACTATTCGACCTTGCTGCTCAGTGAACACAGAGACACTCTCTACGTGGGCGCCCGCGAGGCCGTCTTTGCTGTGAATGCCCACAATATTGCCGAAAAACAGCATGAGGTAGGTACCTGGGATACAACCCCTCACCAGGTACACTGCACCTTTGCAGTGGGGCCTGGACCCCAGGCCCTGCTCCTCACTGGAGCTCAGCCTTCTAGTGGACTGTGGTCTGTCTAGCAGCACAGCCTCTCTGACGCATATTCTGCCATCCGGTCCTGTAAGTGTGAAGGCCCTCTGAACTATCCTGTGTGTGAAGGCCCTCTCAACTCCTAACCCTCTGCCAGTTCCTCTATGCAGTGTTGTCTGGCTTTTATTTGTCTGCAAAGACACCTCTAACCTCTGCTGTGCCAGAAGCCCATAGACCAGCTGCCACCCTATCTATCTGACAACCTGTCTGTTATCTCTTACTCAGTTTATCATCTCATTATCAATTTACTTATTTATCTGTGTATCAGTTATCTGCAAGTCATCTCTAACATCTTAAGTTTATTATTTTATTTTTTAATGGACTAGCTTTTAGGACAGTCTTAGGTTTGTTGTTGTTGTTGTTGTTATGTGCCATCGAGTCGCTTGTGACTCATAGCAACCCTATGTACAAGAGCCCTAAACTGTGCTCTGTCCTGCGCCAATCGCACTATCTCTGACACTCCCATCCCGATTATCCCAGTCACTGAATCAATCCACCTCATAGAGGGCCTTCCCCTCCTGCGCTGTCCCTC